CTTCCCCGCTCCTCCTTCGTTGGAGATTCCTCATTGTTGGCGAATGGAGGCATGTGCTGCCGTGTCCACCTCCTTTCCAAACATGATGGCTGATTTGTCGAAATTAATCTGCTGACTAAAAGCATGTCCGTACTCTGTAAGTATACTCAGCATCACTTCACTTTGTTCCAACCCCCGATGCTAGTTATAAAATATATAAAGTCGTGTATAAGATTTTATGAAACTATAATAACTGTAAGTCTGTAACACTTTTATTGGATTGGAGTCGAGAAAAGAGCAATTGGATAATAGATTTGGCTGATTTGCATAAATGTTCGAAGGTTTTTTTTTGCAATTTCCCATTCATTTAAAAAGTACATAAAAGTTCGGTATTTATAATTCTACCCCAAATGTTTCTGTAATTATAATTTCAGTAGCATTTTTAGCTGCTTCCAGAAAGACGTCTGTGTTCCTTCCTTTCCTCCAATTAATATATAGTGAACGGCTGAGATCAGCAGTGATGGCTTCTTCTCTGAGAACCAGATTATCGCCTTTCGTCGGATCCTCCGTCATAACACGGCGGCGTTTTCCGTTCGTCGGAGCGTTTTGCGTGCTAAGCTTAGGTTTCTCAACTCTCTCTTTCTCTTCGTCTTCCTTTAAAACGGACTGTGCTCAATCCTTCTCTTTTGGTCCTCTCTTAAGGTCAGAATTCGAATTAATATCGATTGTTCTTGTTTCTGTATGTTGTTTCTCGTTTACGTCATGAATTGGCGATTTTTGTTAGGCCTAAGTTTAGCAGTAAGGCTTCTTCATCTGGTGGAACGATCAAAATGGAGGAGAGTAGCAAGATTGTGCCCAGCATTGTTGTCTATGTCACTGTTCCTAACAGAGAAGCAGGTTTATTTGTTGCTTTCATTGCTCAATTTCGTCGCTGCCCCCATTGAATTAGATTGGAGAATATTCATGGAATCTGGTTATATGATTCCAATAGAGTTTTGTTTTGGCAGTAATTCCATTTTTTTTTTGGATTTGGAGCTTTAATTCCTCTTATGGGATTGAAAATGAGATAGTTTCTGTTTTTGGACAGGTATAGAAGTTTCTGTTCTAGTTTACTGTACTTATCTTAATAACTTATCATTAGCTTAGTATACTATTCGCTTTCCGATTATATTGAGAATTTGAGAACCCTTGTAGCCAAATTTGTAACCTGGAGGAGTAGCCTAAAGAAACTCCTTGTATTCTTAAGCTCAAGAATGTTTGTCTTGCTAGTCTTCTACACATAAAAAAGGAATTTTAAACGTCCTTTTTCTTGTGTCGATCTTGATTACATTCGTTAAAAAATCATGTTCTAAGTTCTGCGATTTCTTACTTTTTTTTCATTTTTTAATTGGCAGGAAAGAAGTTGGCTAATAGCATAGTCCAAGAAAAGCTTGCAGCATGTGTGAACATTGTGCCAGGTACTCCCTTCCCTTTCGTCTTTGCTTATATCGGAACTTCAGTAAGTGGAGTAAACGGAAAACATTCTTTGTTAGCGTAATCACCTGGTGGTCAGCATGTGTYAGCTAATCAGAAAAAATAAAACAAAGTTAATACACAAGAAATACTAGAAGATCATGTGTTAGCCAATTCGTGCTCTGTCCATGCTTTATACGCTCTCAAGTTAGCACTCGCTTCTTTGTCTGCTTGCATGTTCTGTGATTTTGAATATGACTAGTTCTGTAACTAGAAAATATTTATGTTTGTTTGCTTGGATGCAGGTATTGAATCGGTGTACGAGTGGGAGGGAAAGGTAAGTAGGGAACAATACGTGCAAATCTTTCTACATTATTCTTTGATCTCAATTCTATCTCGAGGACTATCAATGGATAACGGCTGAACAAGCAAAGCGGAAGACTAAAAACCTAATAAGATTTCAAGAGTATTATGAATGATGATTAACACTCTTTCCTTCCATGAAGACAGAACTGAACTTTCTGCATAGTCTGTATCACCAATGTTGATTACGTTTTTTCTGCTCTGAACATGGCTTGTCTTGAATCTGAGCTATTTCTGCTAGCTGATCTCTGAATACATTGCATATAATCAATCCCTTTGGCTTCAGGTTCAGAGTGATTCTGAGGAGCTCCTGATCATCAAAACAAGGCAATCCCTTCTAGAGTCTCTAACCGAGCATGTCAATGCAAATCACGAATACGAGTAATCATTATTTTCACGTACCAAAAACATGAGTTTATTAGTTCGAGTGGCTTCTCCTTTCTTACAATTTCTAAGTAATTGAACCTTGTTTATTTGTTTCTTTAGTGTGCCAGAAGTAATTGCAATGCCCATAACTGGTGGGAGCGACAAGTATCTAGAATGGTTGAAAAACAGTACAAGGAACTAAGATCACGTACCTGTCCAGCATCAAATGGCTTTGCAGTATTGCGTTCTTCTACTTTCAACTTTCCGTTTGTTCCAAATAAAGACATCTTTCCATCTGTAGATTATCTCCTAACGTGTCGGGAGTAAGACTGGACCAGTTTGAGAAACGAAATAAGAATTGTACTCGGCTCAAGTTCTAAACGTGGCAGCTTGATTCAATCACCCCCAAACAAGTGATGTGATTTAATTAACATTGACCAAACTCAAATTAGTATAGTAAAGAAATGTTTAATAGAAGTCCGGTCCAACAACCACACCATAGAGGAAATCATGTAAACCATAGATGCAAGTATTCTAGAAATTGACTTTGTCGGGTTTTAGCAAAAACATAACCAATAAAAACTAATTGTGTTTGTGCTTTTTTAAGCTACAGGATCAGTAACTGGAAGCTGAGACAGTTGTGTCTCGCTAGCTTGAGTCTTTTTCTCGGATTTAATCTGTCCGTAGAAGTAAGAGACGAATCCCCAGAGGGAGAGAACCAAAGAGACACCTTTCTCTGCCTGAAACTTCTCCCGGAAGAAAAGGACGGCCAAGATCTCTGTCAGCGGAAGCAGAGCACTGATCAGAATTCCAGAGACCACAGACGATGCGCAAAAGATCATCCCTATTGCTCCCAAGAAAAACCCTTGCCAGATTATCGCCGTGAACACAACCACCACATAGTAATACCGAGACCCTCCAAGCTTAAAGTCTCTTGCTTCTTTTGCTATCACCTGCAAATTAACAAAGTTCAACCATCTCAATTCTTGATTCTCAAATCCTGCTCTCTTCAGATCACTCCATATGATGAAAACACACACAAAGATTTCAATTCTTTATAAGGAAAACAGAAAAACTTGTACCTTGAAATCGCCATCAGCGAGCATCCCGACGAGGCAGAAGCAAGTGGCTACAAAGCACAAGACGATCTGAATCTCGAGGACAAGCGTATAGCTGATCTCTTGACGACCTTTCTTGTAAGTGAGCTCCACAAGCGGCAATACAAACGCGTAAAGAACAGCTGCAGCAACGGTCATGAGGAAGCCAACAATATACTCCTTGTGAGTCTCTTCAGCAAGCTTGTCACCATCGGTATGAAGCGCTAGGATTCCGGAACCGAGAGTAAGCAAAACAACGGCGTTTATAGTGAACGGAGTGAACTTATGCTTCACCAAGAAAAAGGCAAAGAGAGCAGTGAAGGCTAATTGAGAAGAGATGATTAAAGATGAAGTGGAAACAGGGAGATAAGCTAATCCGTAAGCGTAAAGGTAATTGTCAAAGCCCGTAAGGAGGCCGATTACGAAAGAGGCCATGAACAGAGGAGGTTTTATGAGGAAAAAAGGAGTCTTTTCTTCTTCGTGGCCATGGCAACGACGACGGAGGAAGAAGGAGACAAGAAGAGGGAAGAGGATGATGGGAAAACCTGTGGTCTGAAGGAAGCTTGAGAACCAGATCCGTTTGCCACCATTTTTGTAGTAAAGCCGCATCATAAGAGGGCCTCCACAGTTTCCAATAGCTAGGATTATGCAGTTTATGATTACAAGAACAGTCTTCATCTTCATAATCATATTCTTGCTCAATGAAAGAAAGCCAAATTACATGTCTTCTTTTAGTTGTTCGATCTAATAGATACTGCATGAAAGAAGAGTTTTGACTAGTAGTGACTTCAAAGACTCAAACACTTAGTGGATAATTGAAAATATATAGTATATTCTTAAAAGTGATTATCGGCTTATATTAACAGAGCCGTATCTCAATCACAATAATTTTTATAAAATTCAAAATATTGTAAAGTTTTTCTACGAATTAATAATATACAAACTGTTGAAAGAGATGGGCATATTAAATTATTTTGAAAAATTACATACACTTTATTGCAAACCTATAACACATATAGACATTTTGTCATTCTGAATGCACTTTTTCTAAAAAAGTGTGTTATGTTGTTTGACCCTTTTACTCTTTCTATGAATTGAGAAGAAATATATATTTACTGGCTTTTTTTTTTCCTTCCTCTATTTCCTGAAAGAGTCCAAACGAAGAATCCATCACTCAATTGATGGAGAAAATAGAGATCTCTTGAACAATGATTCCTACATTCTTCACACACTTCCTCGTACTTCCAGTAAATATCCATCAAAAGGAAGAGATAAAAAGTAACAATCGAGAAAAACGGTTTCAGAAGATTACGAGTTACGGCGACCAATCCTTTATGGAGTCCGTCAAGCCTGGGCATCATCAAAAGCACGACCATGATCGCTTCAGCCGCCGCTGCATAACCTAAAACAACCCATTTGAGAAGTGACTGGGAATATCCTTACCTCGGAGACGATTTGAAGGAGAATCAGAAAAAGCTTCGAATCGATCTCCAAATTCTAGATTGGTTCGTGACACGATTTGTTCTTATGTTCATCGGATTATGATGCAATATGCTGGTTTTGGGCTTGATTAGGGTGATTATAGATGCAAGATTATGTTGACTTTAAAGGATATGTTGACTACATACAAGGTGCTCGCTGAAATGCCAAAGAGAGGCAAATTTCAGAATAGCTTTGGCTAATCTATGGGAAGTAAGGAGTTGGAGGATCACCTTACATTGCTGTTACTAATACCTTAAAAAAAGCAGACTTGATGATACTCTCTAGAAAGAAACCCATCTGGATATGTATATGTTCCACCATATTCCATAGCCACATAAACAACACAAATGGTCAATGTTTCATGGTCATGTTTTTATTAGTCCGTATGAGATGAGATCATAACCATGACAATAGATCAAGTTTTGTTTTGCACCGGAGGAGATGAGAACTAGTTATTCCACCGCTGATGTTTCTTCTTTTTGAGAAAAATATGGTTTCGACAAACCCAGAAAAAAGTTTTGTCTCATGGACACGATGTCGTGGATGAGGATCGATGGACATAATGAGATGGATCGTATCCAACCTACTCGTGGATACGGATTGGTGGACAGAATGAGATGGGATCGTATCCATGACAATTGATCAAGTTTTGTTTTGAATTTTCTGAGAAAAAGTTACCCTTGAACAAATGTACATTAACGTGTTTAAGTTTTATCCAAGTAGTTATTCAAGATGTGTCATTCACAAAAATATAGCAATGCAATCACACTCATTGTCCGTTTGTATATAACCTTCTGGTCAATGCTTAGTGAACACAACATGATTCATGATTAGAAGCTGAAATTTAAGAACTAATATATTAAAGAACACCAAACTTAATATATCAAAGACCACCAAACTTGAGTTCTTTTGACTACAACTTGCAAGGCTTCTTCATTTTCTTTGTAGCATGGACAAACCCTACAATTTTGAAGGTCATCCATTGTTTTCGTATCGATAACATATCTACACAATACATGTCCACAATTTTACATCCACAAAAACATGTCCAAACATAACCCAACTGATAACACAAACAAAATTTGGATGATTCCAATGAAAGTCCTTCGATTTCAAACTCTTCTTCTTCGTCTTGTCTGTTTTAAATTCTTATTCAAAGTAACTATTTTACAATAACACATATGCTAAAATGGTCGCCGTGGACAGTCACACATGGACAATCGCACATGGATAGACTTTTTGTCAGAGCATTATGTCATCGTCTCCGATCTTACTTGGATCGTCGACTTTTAGGCGGTGGAGCCACCGTAATTGCCTCAACAGTCTTTAATTTCGTCTTCCCTTATTTTGTGGTCTTCCTCTTGACCTACCCGAAACACTCGACACCATCTTTGATTTCGCCGCCTTCGATTTGGGAGGACGACCACGAGGTTTTTGCGGAGAAACAAACAGATCGGGATGTGGTTTGAATCGATTGAGCATCTGGGTTTTGGAGGACGACCACAACCACATTTAGGAGGAGTATTGGATTTGTGGTGGGAGAGAGAAGGGAAGTTGATGCGTTTGTTGTTATCCAAATTAAGAAGATGAATTGAAAACCCTATTTGTGGCTGGGATTGTTGGCTTTACTAAAACTGAAATTTTAACCTATGAAGATTGAAGAAATAAATTTAAGAAGATCGACGC